AGCTAAATATCCACCTTCCTCCGCGGCTCCACTCCACTAGTGATGGGGATTTTTTGATTTACTGATCCATTTTCCCTAACCCCACCACCACCACCTTTACCCGCGCGCCATGCCACCACTCTAGCCCTGCCACGCCATAAAAAACAGCTGATTCATGGATTTAAGTAGCCGCCCTTCCACCCAAGCCACTTTTTGGAGCCGCCCGAGCGCCGTGGGGGTTATGGACGGGTGACCTTTTTGGATCCGATGGGTGAACTTAGCGCGGCTCGGCGCCGGCCGCTAAACCCCATCGGGCCGAACCCTGAACCCGACGAGGGCTCATCGCGCCGGGGCCCCTGGGTTAGTAGATTAGACTTCCTAAAAAGTAGAAAATTAGGTGTTTAAAAAATAGATATATTTAATATATGTGTAAAATATAGAATGGAAGGGAATATAATCACCCTAATTTTTTAAATATAATAAATACACAGTGGCTGGTCCAACGCCCGCGGGATCTAGATGGCTTAATTATCCTGCTAGATATTCCCCCTACTAGTAGATGGCCCGCGCGGCCTGGCTGGCTGCCTAGTGGTTATATCCATGTTACTACTCTTATTATACTTATAATAACAAATATGCTAGATATATATTATATAAAGGTTATAACTAATAGGATATATTATACCTAAAAAAATAAAAAAAAAATAAAAAAAAATAAAAAAAAAAAACTAAATATCCTTCCTACCACCTACCACCCACCCACCCTACCGTGAGAAAACTTTAAACTAGTAATTATACCCCCAGTATTAATTCTAGGAATCCACGCCCGAGTATATTAGATATATAATTATATAGAGAATCTAGTAATAAAATAATAAATAATATATATAGTATAAAAAGTAGAATCTTGTCAAGGATAGCCGTCCGGGCTAGCTACCTGCCACTCGGCCAAAAGGTCACTATGATCAGACCCTATGGTCTGATCTGCCCGGATCGTATCTTATAGCATTATCCCTGACAAATCTAGAAGGATCTCCATTGATCTAGGCCCTGGGTAGTACTGATACTGCAGAAAGATGCTACTTTCTTCAGTACCAGTACATAGGACCTAATGGGAATCGAACCCATGACCTTCTAGTTCTACATAGGGCTGCTAACCATTAGGCTATCTACCCTAGTTATTAAAAATGATTTCTGGACCTTTTATATAAAGGACCCCTTGCTATCTTTAACCTGTTATAACTTATTTATTATTAGGGCTAGTGCTCTCGGACATAGTGCATAATATACGTAATTTTATAGAGAATGTTCTTAGAAGATTAGATTATATCTAGAATCTAATCCCAGGCTTATATTTCTTAAAAAAAAAAAGGGGGGGGCGGCGGCCGCTTCTAACCATGTTAATTCAAAGTGCATTATTATTAAGACTAGGACTCTAGTAGCATTAGCATTAGTAGCATTAGCATTATAATAATAATAACAGGAGCCTTAATAGGTAGATTTTATACTCTTATACTCTATTATAGGTAATAATAACTCTAGAGTATGGTACCTTTTGCGCTTAGTATTAGAAGCCATCTTCTTATAATCTCTTAGGGAATAAATATATATATATATATAATCTACCTATCTATCCTAAAGGTACCTGGTTTCTACTAATACCAAGGCAAAAACTTTTATGGTCTATAAATAGAAATAGATAGATAAATAAAAGCAAGCTTTAATATACTATAATAAATAGAGGGAAATAATATTTGGGAACAAGAAGATATATATATATATATCTATCTATCTATAAATATATAGTAGGGTTATTTCTACTTATCATGGCTATCCTTGCTTAACACCACCTTGTTTATATACTACTATTATTATAATGCCCACACCTACTATGTATTTAAATTACAGCCTAGTCCTGGTCTATATTAATAGTAATACATGCCCGCTTGGCGGCACCACCCTGATAGTCCTGCTCCTCCTGTGGCTGCCATGCCTGCTTGCGTGGCCCTAGGTACATCTTAAAGCCCAGGAAGCCATGCCACTTGTGGCTGATTGCCTGGTACTGCCACCACCGCGCCTTTACGTGGCTGGGCGCCTCCTGCAGCCCCCGCGTGTATATAGTGCCCGCGACCCAGCTCCCATGGCTGGCCTGCTCATTAAACGCGGCGTTGTTCGTGCTGCTGTAGTCCTGCTTAAAGCCGCCGCACCTTAGGTGCACGCGCGAGATTGTGATGGCCGTGTGGTAGTAGGACAGGATGTTCATCTTTATCTATAGGTGGGCCTTGGCCTCACGCTGTAGCACCTTCTGCAGGCGCTTGCTTGCCCAGCCCCCCTCCTCCTCCCCCGCAGCTGGCCAGAGGAAGGCGGAGGCGGGCCCGCGGCGGCCGCGGGCCAGCTGCTCTAGCGCCTTGTGGAAGGGGAGGACCAGCCAGAGGTAGTAGACCACCAGCTTACTCATGGCCTTGGGCAGGTAGCAGTGGATGATCTTGGTGGTGTTGCTAATAGAATAGCCCTTATAGTACGTGGTGACTATGCTTACTAGCCCATGCTTAATAAAGAGGTTGCGGTGGCGGCCCTGCAGAGTGTTGCGGTGGCGTAGCCCTAGCAGCTCAGTGGCCCGCGCGGGCTGTCCGCTGGTAATGTGGACGAGCAGGAGCAGGCACTGTAGGAACTCGTCTACCTGCTGTAGGTACTCTACCATGGGGCCCTCCCGCCAGAGCACCTTGTCTGCCAGCCTGATCTGGTGGACCTCCAGGAACTCCTCACGCAGCTAGTCCACCCTAAGCACGTGGTCCAGCAGCTAGTGGTCCCCTAGGGTGGGGAGGGCCTTTTGGGTGCGTGGGTCCTGCAGGAAGTTCCACCCCCGCGTGTTGTTAGTTAGGTCGTCCTGCAGCTTGTGCAGGGCCAGGCGTGGCACCACCTCCTCCTGGGCCTTATCCTTGTGTAGGAGGAAGAGCGCCGCGAGCTCTGCCTGGGCCCGTGAGACCTATGCCACGATAAACTCGCGCAGCCCGTGCATGCTGAGGCGCAGGTCCTTGTAGCTTAGGGTCTGCTTGTTATTACTCTAGTAGATGTAGCCTAGGCTGGTAGTACTATTCTAGATCTTCTTCCCATACGTGCGCAGCCGCGCGACCCAGCCAAAGGGGGCGCGCACCCTATAGATCAGGAAGCACTCGTGCATCTTGTCCAGGGCGTCCGCGGGGTGGCCCACGTGGCCCGCCTCGGCCTCGCGGACCGCGCGCAGGGCCACGAGCATCTGCGCCATCTTAACTAGCCCTAACAGGTAGCTAGTGTAGCTGTACAGGTCCTGGAAGGTCTAGCGCGCGGCGTCCACCCCAAGGACCGCGAGGAAGCCCACCAGGGTACTCTTAAAGAGGTCCCCTTTCAGGGGGTGGTCTAGCAGCGCGATGGAGAGGTCTAGGGTAGCCTGGTCTAGCTGCACCTGGAGCTTCGCCTCGCGGGGGCCGCGGGGGGGCTCGGGGACCGGCCCCGTGTGGGGTGGCGGGGCCACTGCAGCTGCCGGGGCCGGGCTAGGTGGTGGTGGGCGTGGTGCGAGCCGTGCGAGCGCGCGAGCTGGTAGGGGCACTACTACCTAGCTAGCTATCAGCTTCTACTTCTTCTTCTTCTTCCAGGGTACCGTCCGCGGCGCCTGCTGGGGTGGTGGTGGTGGTGTAGTGGCTGGTGCGGGACCAGGTACTATGGTATCCTCTACCTCCTCCTCCTCCTCCTCCTCCTCCTCTGCAAGGGCGAGCAGCCAGTGGCCATACTCTTCCATCTGGTCCAGCGCGGCGAGCTGGGCGGAGTTAAGCTGGTGGTAGAGCTGGATAGGCTGGTTGGGCTGGCTGCTGCGGTGGGCAAAGCAGACTAGGTGCTGCCATACCTAGCAGTACTAGTGGTAGGTCTTTAGCTGCAGGTGGATCTGGATTAGCCGGTTCCACAGGCCAGGCTTGTGGTGGAAGGTGTTAATCTAGATCTAGTTAAACTTATTAATCTGGCCGCTCTAGATGGCGTGGTAGGCCTGGCTGACCAGCCGCTGCATGCTGGCACTAAACTGCACCAGCAGCGGCTCTATATCCTGGTTAGGTGGGCACCTAAGTAGCGCCGCCGTGGTCAGGTCCTGGCCCCGCAGGTACTCTGGCCAGCGCGTGAGCTCCAGCCACAGGGATACCTTGGTCGGGTCACTAGCCAGGGCCGGGACCTGGCCATCCTCCACCTCCACGGCCGCCTCCCCTGCCAGCAGCGCCTGGTCCACGCGGGCCCGGATCAGCTCCACCGTGGTTACTGGCAGGCCTGCAGGCAGCGCCCGCTGGCGCCTGGCGGCCGCTACTAGTAGGGTAACCTTAAAGAAGTGGCTGCCCGGGCCCACGCGGTAGAACCGCTGGCAGTGGACCACGCGGTCCGCCAGGCGCTGCTGGGCCCGCGCGCGGGCCCAGGCATGGGAGAGCCGTCTAGAGCTCCAGTGGCCATCTTTATCCTTATGGTTTACCTAATGGTGCTTCTCCATCGTCTTAGTGGTGTGGCTAATATATGGGCAGTGCGGGCAGCCGCGGCCCTGGTAAACAGCCGGCCCGGCATGGGAGGCCCCCCCAGGGGTGGGAACAGGCCCGGCTCGCAGGTGGGGTCCACCCATGGCTGCTTGAGCATCTGGGCCAGAGCCTCCTGGCAGGCGTTATAGGTGCTGGCCGTGGCGTGGGATGGATAGTGGGCACGCAGGTGGGCTAGCAAGGCAGATGGTAGGACCGCGTACTAGCAGTGGGTGGCCGTGCAGATCCAGACCTGGTAGGTGGGGTTGTAGAGGAAGAGATCCATGGCTAGGTAGAGAGGAAGAAGCTTCTTATAAAAAAAAATAGAAGGAAGGATAGAGAAGGGAGTAAAAAAGGAGAAGGGTAGAGTTTCTTTAAGCACCCCGCGTGGCCCAAGTCGCGAGTCGCGCTGGATGTGTCGCGTGTGAGAAAAAGCAAGCATGGCCATAGCCATGGGTGGCAGGTGGTGGTGTATATTTAGCTGGTATAGCTAGGAATGGTACAGACGTAGGATGGATGGTTCCGTGGATGGAGGGGTTAGGGGCGTGGTGATAGTGGTGATAGTGGTGATAAGAGGCCCACGGGGGGTAAGATGGCAGAGGGGCACGCACTCGCAGGGCGACGGGAGCACGCACGCGCCAAGCGACCAACCTGACCAATCACGGGGGCGCGGTCGATCGACCCCTGGGGAGTAAAGGGCTAGCAACGAATTATATCGATTGTAGCGGGACAGCACGATGAGAAGCCAAATGGTCTGTCTCGGTGATGGGGAGGCCATTGTTGCAGCTGGCGGCGAGATTCCTTTTTGCTTGCGGAAAACATGCCATTTTAACTGTGAGAGGCAAGTCTACCAGTACCCAACAGGCGAGGCGAGAGTGGCTCGACTTTGGCATCCTTCAGCAGATACAACGCAGAGTCTCCCTTGCACATCGAGTGACACCACATCACTGGAGCCAACCCTGGGAAGGAAACACGAACACCATCCACTCTACTACCAAGTATAGAGTTGGTCGACTGGCGACATGCGGTGATGTTACACAATGATTCTGCCGCCGAGTAAGGTCTGGCTTTGGCAGCAAGGATTCAACCTGCTGGCACTGATGTGTCGCGCTATGAGGTATAATTATCGGGACCGTTCTAACCCTTAACGATACAGAAATTCGTATTAGAAGCATGTTCTCACCCTTAAACCCAAAGAAACAGTTATATCGGTAACTCTGTAGCTGCCCTGATGATGTTGGAATGGCAGTGGCGTTTCTCCATCTATGGCAAATGATCACTTCATATTGGCTACCAAGGATATTTTGAAATGTTCTTCCCCAAATGCAGTCCCGGTACAATTGCAGCAAGAAACAAAATGAGTTCTATCTAAGGCTATGTCGGATCGAAAAGAAAGATAGAACAAATGCACCACAAGGACAATTGCAAAGAACCCGATGAAACAGCGGCTCTCACGCCACAAGTCACCCCCGGAAGAACCAAAATCGCAAGAAATCATGGCAAAAACACAACAGGACATTCCTCTAGCATGGTATAAATATCCTCACACCTTTCTTTATCTCACTATCACGCTTCCTCTGCTCCATCCAGCCCTTCGTCCACTACCAATGCCCGAGCTCGAGTGAACGCATTAGCTGTAGGAACATGCTGGT